TGACATGCACATGTGGGATCTGTTTTGCCTCTGTGTTTAGCTTCCTTACATGGGAAGAGTTTGTGAAGCAGCTTTAGAGACTCTTCTTGAATCTTGAGTCATATAACTCCTAGTCAGTCTCAAAGATGGATTTCCATTAGAGTTAAAATACTTAATTAGTAATTAATTTAATACTTAAGTACTTAATTTAATTAATACTTAAACTTTAAAATTCTTAGGTATACTCTCTTCTTGGTTAATTAACTCCTTTTAAAATATTTTCTTGAAAACATTCAAAATATTGAAAACACTTTTTCAACTACAGAAGCATAACAGCCAAAACCATTTCCCCTTTCGTTTGCTCATGCCATGTATAATGTGTTCTTCTAGCATCTGTGTATTCTATACATGAGGAAGTTCACATAAAAAGCATATTTCAGAAATCCATCAACTTGGAACAGTGTTGCTACAGATTGCTTAAATGGTAAGGTGAGAAACAGTAGACTAGCTCAGGAATGTCCTCTGTCTGTATGGCCTTGGGTAGGATCACACAACGACTGGGTTCACCCTGGGTTCACCCATGCACTTGGTCATGGCTTATATGGCATCCACAAGTGCTATCCTGAATATTCAAGCTGTGACTTCTCATGTCTTCCAAATACAGGAAGTATGGGTTTTGTGTGTAAGTCAGGTTTAACCCTTGCGTAAGCCACAGCCCACAGTAAGCCCTGGCTACAACATGAGCATTTGAAATAACTCCCAGCCTGTGCTGCAGCTCATCATGGCTTGCCACAGTGGGCCATTTGTTTACATGAACTGGCCCATTGTGTATAATAGTGTCTTGTTCAAGCAGAGAGAAAATTAGCAAGAGATGCAATCCAAGTTGCCTGATATCTGCTAACTATTGGCTAAGGAGTGAGCTTCAGAAGCAGAAGGAAGAGTGGAGATGATAGAAGTCTGCTCTAACCATTTCAGTTGGGGTTCCCATTCATCATATTTATTTTAAATGCTACCAAATTATATTCATGAGACCTGCAAAATATCTCAAGTTTTCAGGAAAGTTTAACCAGAAAAAATGGTGCATCATTGGAATAGTATAGGCTCCCCCAAATTAACTTAATTTCAGAAATGTTAAGATGACGCATTCTTGTTAAGATCTTCATTTAGTCCACATTTCAATTAAATTGCTTGAGTGCAATGCTGTATTCTCAGAGATCAGATTTTAACAATTCCTTGCAAATTAACCCAACCAAGACATCATGAGCAAAGATGTTTGCTTAAAAACAAGGTTAGCTGTTTCCTAAAAAAACCTAATTTGGTTCTCTGTATCTTCTAGTAAATTATGTACTTTCTGGCAAAGTAATAAATGTAAAGATTGGGTCTTAACAATGTGGTATGGAGAAAGTTCAGTCTGTTCTGGTTGAGGTTGCACTCCCTTTGAAAGAGCAAGTTCATAGCTTGGGGGTGCTCCTTGAGTCCTCTTTTTCACTTGAGACTTTGGTGCCTCAGTGGCATGGAATCCCTTCTGCTAACTTTGGCTAGTGGCCCAGTTAAGTCTTTTTATCGGAACATGGATAGCATGGTTTTAGTAGTTTACACATGACAGAGTGAGCTCCCATGCTTTGTCCCAGCTTCTGACAACAACCTTGCAGTTTGAAAGCATATAAATGCAAGTAGAAAAATATGTACCACTTCGGTGGGAAGGTAACAGTGTTCTGTGCACCTTGGTGTTTAGTCACGGTGGCCACATGACCATGGAAACTGCGGACAAATGTTGGCTCCCTCAGCTAGGAAATGGAGATGAGCACTGCCCCCAAGAGTCAGACATGATGGGACTTTAATGTCACGGGGAAACCTTTACCTTTACCTTAATCTCTAAATGAGACTATTGCAAAGTACTCTACTTCAGGCCATCCTTGAAAAAATGTTTGGAAGTAACAGCTTGCACAAAATAATAATCAGGATCATAAGATTCAAACATATAACACTACCTCTGGCCCACTTTGCATTGGTTGCCAATATGTTTCCAAGCCCTATTCAAGGTCCTAGTTTAACCCTTAAACCCTAAAGACTTGTTACCGTAAGACATAACAGAATGCTTCTCCAGTTGGGGCCTGCCTCTGCCACCTCTGAGGGAAGTTTGGGTAGTAACAACTAGGAGAAAGGCCTTTTCAGTGGCTGCCCCACAAGCATGGAACAAACTTTCCACTGTGGCCCATGTGGCACCAACCCTATTTATTTAAAACATTTTTCCCATTGTACATCTGAAAATGGATCTCTAGGCTGCTTACAAAAGACCAAGACATCTCATACCTTTTGTCCTGGCACCAAAATGAATAAAGGGGTGCATCAGCAGCAGATGCATCTCTCTGAGGAGCAGATTCCATAGGCAGGTGGTACCACAGAAAAGGCCATTCCCTGGGTAGCTACTTTTCTAACCTCTTTCAAAGAGGGCTTCCCAAAATGGACCTCAGTGGAAGATCTTAAAGTACTGAAGGAGATAACCCTTCAGATATCCTGGCCCTAAACAATTTAGAACTTTGTATGTCAAAGCTATCACCTTAAATCAGGCCCAGACGTCAATTGGAAGCCAGTCAAATTGGAATAGGACTGGTGTTATGTGATCTCAACTGCCAGTCCTAGTAAGCAGTCTTGTGGCTCTATTCTGTACCAATTCTGTATTCAAACCATTTTCAAGGGTTAACCCCACATAGAACACTTTACAGTAGTCCAATCAGGAGGTTACCAGAGCATGAATCACTGTTGCTAGGCATTGTCTGTCCAGGTAAGGATGCAGTTGATGGACCAGCCAAAGCTGGTGGAAGGTGCTCCTTGCCACAGAAGTCACCTGAGATTCTAGAAACAGCTCTGGATCAAGGAGCACTCCCAAACTGCGTGCCCTGTCCTTTAGAGAGATTGCAACCCCATCCAGCACAGAATGAATATAGTTCACCAGGAAAGGTGACCTGCCTACCAGCAGTACCTCCATCTTATCTGGATTAAACCTCAATTTATTGGCCCTCATCCAGTCCATCACACTGTCCAAGCGCTGATTTAGAACCATCACCACTCACCTGAAAAGGAGTAGATGAAAAGGAGAGATAGAGCTAGATGTCATCAGGGTACTGCTGACATCTCAGCCTAAACCTCTTGATGACCTCTCCCAGCAGTTTCATGTAGATGTTAGATAGTGTAGGGGATAGAATGCAACCCTGTGGAACTCTATGGCACAGAGCCTTAATCCATCAGCACCTCTTTGGGAAATTGGCCAGCCACATAGGAGTGGCTGACTCCCAACTTGGCCAGCCTATCCAAAAGGATACCATGGTCAATGGTATCAATAACCACCAAGACGTCCAGGAGAACCAACAGGGACATATTTCCCTTGTCTTTTTCTTGGCAAAACCAGGCTGTAAGCTGGACTGAAGTGGATCCATGTGATCAATTTCTCCAAGAGCAGCTCAAGTTTGCTGACTACCACCTGCTCTAATGCTTTGCCCAACAAAGGGGATATTGCTGTGTGACTAATGGGGCATGTTAAATCTAATAAACAAACAAACAATTGGCCACTGGCCTATCACTAGTGGCAACTTCCAGGTCCAGGTTCATCCTCTTCAGAGGTCTGATGACTACGTCCTTCAAAAGGGACAGGCACTTGTCCCTCTGTCAGAAAGGCATTTACTACTTTCTGGATTGAGGCATGAAGCCCCTCCTTGACTTTGCTGATTAGCCATGAAGGGCCAGGGTCAAGTTTGCAGGTGGTGGGTTGAACTTGTTCAGGCACCTTTTCCACACCTTCAGGCCTCAATCATTGAAACTTATCCAGCAAAGGTGGACTAGACACCTCCGCTACAGGAACATTACTAACTGTAGACTTCAGTTTGTGATGAATCTGAGCAACTTTATCCTTGAAATGCTCTGTGAATTTGGTATACTGGGTCCCCAAGGATTCAACAGGACCCATCTTGGGCCCAGAATGTACAAGACCGTGAACCACTCAGAAAAGCTCCACTGGATAACATTGTGAGATGCAATGTTAGCAGAGAATTTCTTTGTCACTGCCCTCACCCACCAGAGTATAGGGTCAGTAATGAGCTCTAAGACACATTTGGTCAGATTCAGCATGGGGTTTTTTTCCGCCTGTGCTCTTGTCATCTCCCAGTCTGCTTCATAGCCTGCAAACCAGTTGTATTCCAGGGCTCTTACTTATCTTTTCAGCAGCAGGTTAAGATAGTCCTCTTTGAAAGGGAATTTAATCAACCCAAGTAATCCATCCAAGGCTCCAGCGAATGGGGTGGCATATAAGTGTGCTAAATAAATAAATAAAATATTAGGGTATATATTTAGCTGTCTAACAGGTCTTATGTCTTAATTTGTGTTACTTATTATACTTGTTTAATTTTAAATCTGTCTTTTATAATTTGTAGTATAATTGTATGACTGTTTACCTTTATTGTTTTCAATAATGTAGGCTTCTAGTATTTTATGAGCTGTTATAAACCACCCAGAGAGTTTCAGCTGCTCTAACTTGTATCCCAGCTTGAATCTGCAGTCACAGATGCCCAAGTTCTTTTTCGTCTTTAAGATTTGAGCCCTATTTTTAATCTCTTCTTCCTGTTCTTTAATAGCCACTGGAAATTGGCAACAATGCAAGCAGCCCATTTGCCAACAGAAAGCCAAAACTTTATCTTTTAAAACAATGTTGATGATGATGATGATTGACTTCTTGAATTTTTAAAAACAAAGCAGATTAATCACATTATGTACCTAGAATAGAGAACTTTTATTCGTTTCATTCCCATATTTTTCTAAACTGGTAAACAAAATACACCTCCCACATGGAGCTTAAAGAGGAGCATATAACTTAACCTGCCATGAGAGAGCAGCACTTGAATCTCAAATAAACTCTCACCTGTGGAATCTAAGCTCAGTGGTATTGCATTACATCTTCTCTGCTATTGCAAACTAATGCAAAATATTGCTACTGCCCTCTTAAGGCATCTCTTTTTACTATCTTACAGGGGAATACTTTGAACAGAACATAAAGATATCATGGCCTGCCTTACAATGACAGAGATGGAAGAGACAGCATCGTCTACTATTCACCAGAATGGTGGCATCATTGGCAATCCATCCATTTCTAGACAAATGGAGCCACTCTTTCAGGTTTATCTTTATCATTCCCCAGGAAAAACTGAAGGCAATTATCTGCAATTTCCAGCTGGGCAGTATGTTGCTGAAGAGATCTGTGTTGCTGCTTGTGAGGCTTGTGGTAAGATCATAGCCAATTTTCTATCTGGTAAAGCCATTGCATTTTGCTTTTGTGGGGATTTGAAAAGAAATGCATATCACAATTGTGTTTTGTGGCTCAGTTCAGGTTTTCTCTGAGGTTGTTAAGTTTGCTATTTGGCAGCATAATAAATGAGATTTGTTCAGATGAAATACTAAACTATGGTTTAACACTGTAGGGATGAACCTCTGGAGTCTGCATTTACCTCTTTTTCTGGTAATGCCAGAGGGTAACTTCCATTCACTATAGTTTAAAATTATTAGTTATATAAATCTAATGTAAACTGTGCTGTAGTGTAAAAGTTAACTTCATAAATGATGATCTAAAGTGGATTTTTTTAAAGTAAATCATAGATAAAACTAACCCAGTTTGTTTGGGTTTGTTTATAACAGTTGTCTGTGGTTAGTCAAAATCAATTATCTCTGGTTAGTCCACCCAGTCAAGTATAAAGATGAATCTTTCCAAAATCAAATTGCTAGTATTTCAAGAAGGCATGATGTTGTCATTATGGGGGCTTCAATTTCCCTGATATCTGTTGCGAGTCAAACTCTGCCAAACATGGCCCTTCTAAGAGATTCCTAACATGTGTTGTTGATAACTTACTCCAGCAGAAAGTAGAAGTAGGAATGAGACATATAGCTTTACTCAACCCAGTTCTAACTAACAGGGCAGACATAGTGGACAATGTAACTGCTACAACTACAGTTCCAACAAGGAAAAAGAGTAGTAGATAACAGAGGAAGCCCATGTGGCTTCACAAAAAAGTAAGAGATAATCTGGAAAAATAAGACGTGTATGGGAGGTGGAAGGAAGGCCAGGCTGCAAAGGAGGAATATAAGCAGGTAGCAAGGAACTGTAGGGATGACGTCAGGAAGGATAAAGTGATGAATGAACTGAGGCTAGTGAGGGTAGCTAAAAACAACAACAAAACCTTTTTCAAATACATCCAAAGCACATGACAGATGAAAGAGAAGGGAGTTCAGCTACTCACCATGGTGGAACAATGATAACAGATGACAAAGAAAAGTTGGAAGTGCTCAACTCTTAGTGTTCTGCAATAGCAGGGGGTTGGACACGATGGCTTTCTGGCCCATTCCAGTTCTACTATTCTTTAATTCTATGATTCTATGAAAATGAGTGTGCTGGCACAGGAGACGGGAATGTACTAGACCAAGGCTGGTGCATACAATGCTAAACCATGGTTTAGTGTGGTATCCAAACATAATGCTTGTCTGTCCTCTTGGAAGGAAAAGGAAAAGAGCAGATGCTGCAGGCAGTACCCACTGTAACCCATGCTTTTTGGAAACAGTGACCTCTTTTTGAAAGCCTGGACTCCATTTATTCTAGCAGCAATTGACATTCTCTGAATAAAACGGGATATTGTTCACAGTCAACAAGGGAAAAAAGATACTTAAAAAAGACCCTCTGTTTATCAGAGGGGGTGGTGAGGTGACAGCAAGCTATACCTAACTTTCCCTCATCTCAAAATTTCAAGCAACTGAGGAAGAATTTGCATCCTTTCAACATGTGTTCAGTAGAAGGTATAATAGAGCCTGGAGACTGCACATTTTTCTCACTATTGCTCACTATTTGAGCAAAACTATCCAGCATAAGGGGCATGCTGAAGTCACTAAAAATATTCTGTTTTGTAGAAAATATTTCTAAAACATTTTAAAGTATTTCCATCATGGAACATGCTTATAGAATGCAAAATCTCTGTTAAAATCATATTTTAGCATAATATCATCTGCTGCTAGATACTTTCTCTTTGCAACTCCTTTATGGCTATTTCTTATTTAACTTTACCAGGTGTTTTCTGATGAGGCACATGTCAGGTTTTGGCTGTTTTAAACCCTTTTTGGGAAGGTAATGATGGGGCCGGGTAAATTCCTAGGTGCTACACTTCCCTTAGAACTTCCATTCTGCTTCCTGGAGAACAGATAAAGTATCATGTGACTGGCAAATGTAATGTCTTTCTTCCTTCAGACAGGAGGAAAGGGAGATCCGGGCTTAGTCAGCCTGATTATAATGGCAAGGAATATACTACAACAGATGATAAAGAAGTTAATCTGTAACCTTCTTGACTACAATGCAGTGATTTGTACAAATTCGTATAGATTTGTCAAGGCAAAACTTAACTTTATTTCTATGAAGTGCCTGACTTGAGTTCTTCATTTTTTTGGTTATTAAACTGGTTATCTGTGGTCAGATGGTGATATTATTGGTGGATTCACAGCCTATTGGAAAACTGAAATTCTTCGTTGTGGTCTCTGTGCATCATACATGTGGGCTTTGCTGTCTTAGCCATTGACTTGGATTGCACATTTCTGGAGTAAACACCTAGGAATTGGCATGGTTTATGTGGAAGCAAGTGAGTGCACAGCCTCCCACCTTCCCACCACTTCCCATTTCAGAAGCAAGCCAGGAACACTCGGGATTATTGTCATGACACGAGGACCCAGCACTCTGGATTGTGTAGCACTGACCAACCCAGAGATTTTTGTGAGGTTTGCGCATCATAGGAACAATGCAGGGTTTTGGAAAACAAGTCCTGTAAGGAAAGATGGAAGAAATTATATTTAGCCTGGGGAACAGAAGACTGAAGGAATTGGGCAGCTGTCAGGAACAGAGGAGATATCACTGTATTCCTCAAATACCTGAAGGACACTCACATAAAAGAGAGGGGAAAAACTTGTTCTCTTTCCCAAGCAAGCATAACTAAATCTGATAATCTGGTAAGGGCAATGGTGCAATGGAAACTTTAAAGTGTATGTGTGGGGGGACGCTTCATGATAGTTTGAGCCGCATCTCAAAGCCACCCCCTCATCAAAGCCACATACCTTAAGCCACACCTGTTTTCAAGATTATGCAACCTATGATTATACAGTAAAAATGAGTTTTGTCTCTTTGTTTGAATTTCTGTTGAGTAATGAATGCAAGATGAGGGTATCTTTTTTGAGGTGAAACAATGACAGCTTGTAGAAGTTAACTCTTATTATCTTATTTCTTATGAATGAATGATTTTTAAAATTATGTTCGTACCCTGCTTTCCAACCAAAAAGCTCCCAGAATGGCTTATGTGGAATTAATAAGGCAGTTACTGCCCACAGGCTTCATTTGTAAAAACAAGACATACAAAGGGAAGGGAACAGGGAGGGAAGAAAAGGAAACCTATGTAGTTATATTCTCCAAGAGCAGCAGTCTGGATTGACAGTCACTGTTTAGTTTCTTTTAATTTTCTGTGGCCTCTGTAAGCAATGACTTTGAGTGTACATATGTGCGGGAGATCCAGAGTCCATAGTTTAGGGGTTCCAGTTTCTCAAAATATCCAGTCATCTTGTATTGCACTCTCATTGGATCTATGCTGAACCATGCATAAAGTAGCCTCAATGAAGTGAGAGGAACTTAAGGCTATCAGAAGCCATGGCTACTTTTTCCCGTTGATTCAAATGAATATACCCCAGTTACGATCCTTTATTCCACTTAAGCCATTATTTCTCCTAAATAATTCTGGGGCTAAGAGTCACTAGAAAACACCCTGTTTGCCCCACAGAGCTGCAATTTTCAGAATGCTTTATCAGTCAATCCCTCTTCCCTAGGAACTCTGGAAATTGCCTCTCTGTGTGAGGAATTGTCCACTAATGACATTGGGACCCTTGACAAACTGCTGTTGCCCAGATTCTTTGGAGAAATATCAGCTATTTAAAGTGGAATCGGAGTGTTATAGATGTGTGGTGTGAGTGCAGGGGGAATGGGAGGGAGTTTTTGGAACAGCAAAGGCAAGTTGACTGCATGTTGCCAAGGAGCAGAGGCTAAACATGAGAGAAAGTGTCACAGAAAGCACATATGCATACCTGGCAGGCTTCTCCAGATAGATAGTTCCCTAACTGTTGGGAACTGTTGAAAAAACACCCTTGTTCTTAACCAGTTCAACTCAGGACTTCAACACAGTGGCAGCTGTCAGCCATGAACCAGCAAAATTAAGTCTCTTGGGAGGTCAGGGGGAGGGACAATGACCCTGGCTTCACGGATCCAACAGTCCCCTCTCATGGCCCTCTCCACTACACCTTTGGTAAGGACAATTTGATAATGTAGTCCATTACTGGGCTTTCCCTCACTAGATGGGAGCCTCTACAAGCAAAGTCCCTTCAGCTCTGAATTTCTTGGAACGAGTGGGCATTGCATTGGATGACCACAGAAGTCCCATCCATAGCTATGATTCTGAGGTTGCCAGGATTGGGTTGTAGATAATACTGGGTGTTAAGTCAACACCTAGGTGTTGTTGCTCAGGTGGATTCAGTTTCCAGGAACACCTTTTATCAGCTTTGGCTGATTTATCAACTGCATCCCCACTTGGACAAGTAGCACATTGCCATGTTTATCCATGTGCAGGTAACCTCCTGCTTGGATTAGTGCAACATGCTTTACGTGGGGCTGCCTTTGAAAATGGCCCAGACACTGCAACTCATCCAAAATTGGGCAGCACACCTGCTAACAAGGATTGGCATTTGTGAGTATGGCATGCTGGTCTCACCCAGGCTACATTGGCTTCTGGTTGCTGTCTGGGCCCAATTCAAAATGCTTACAATAACACATAAAGCCCTAAATGGCTTGGAGCTGGGCTATTTGAGGGAGTGCCTCTCTTCATATATACCTACCCTGTCACTGCAGTTGTCATCCAAGGCCCTTCTCTGCATTCCCCCCGCCCATGAAATGAAGGGGGAGTGGCAAGGAGAAGGGCTTTTTCAATCGTGCCACCCCAATTATAGAACTCAATGCCACTTGAGAGTAGGTTGAAATCATGCTTATATTTCTTTAGGCACCAACTAAAGACTCTCCTGCTTTGCAGGCACTTCATTGGTTGAATCCATTGGCTCAATTTTAATGGATGGTTTTAAAGGTTTTTGAATAATGTTAATTGCTGCTGCCAGTTTATAATTTATATTTTTGCAATATTAAGGATTAATTATGATTGGCTGCTT